TAATTATTTATCGGCACATACTACCACATCATATGCCATCAATAAGCCAAAAAGGACGATACGGGCGACCGCAGCGGTATTTTATAGTTCACTGACGTGAATGTAGAAGAAATATGAGAGTCAAATTACTCGTATATTGCAAGTTAAATTATCATTACTCCAGAATTTTATCCCAAACAGCATTGGCTTTCACTCAATTATCCTAGAGAACAACATTGCTAGGTATGTTACTTCAATAGTAAATCAATTATATAATATTATTTTAGATGTTGCTAACTTATCTTACACATAAATTGCATTTATAACAAAATTGAGAAAATTTTTATAATCTGCTGACTCAAATACATCAAATGGTCTCATCTATAAACCATCGCCTAGTATTTACGATTGGATATAGACAAAGTTGGCCTGTAGATTATATCTTGTTAGGTATGCCGTCTGTCTGGACATATAAATTAGCATTACTTTGTATTATTAAATTAAGTAATGCATTTAACTTAATTTCATTTGATGATAAATAAAATTGATATTAAAAACATCGTTTAACAATAGTAACTTTGCGTACAAATATTAGGAAAACTGGTCATAGGATTACAATAAAATTTTGCTCAGTTATACACTAGACTTTTATAATTTTTAAAGTTTTTGCAATTGGTTAAACACCCTCTATGACAGGTGTTACTTTTAATGGGATCTTTCATTCGCTGTTGGTGCATTGTGCACCAGTGCCAATTATATCACCTTATTTACCCAGTTTACTTCCTTATTATTTCTTATATACAGTATAATTTACTTCTGCTAAATAGCTGGTGAAGAAACTATCCACCAGTGGACCCCACATCGCCGACAGGAAGGTGTAGTGGATTTTACACCGGGCCAAACGAAAGGTATAATATCAGTTGGTGTAGTTCATTCCTACACCAGTGGGACGAACGAAAGAACCTAATTATCATAATAATATTTCAGGACACATCGTTTATACGAGACGACTCGTAAAAGCCGACGAACAATATATGCCGCCTGTAACCACGTTTATGAGTCACCATGTATAAAATATAATATATCATCAAGAAGCAATTACTTATATTATATATGTTACTATATTTTTGTGATACATGTTGTTGTAATGCAAGTATACGACTGAAAAAATGTTAATATTTGATGGTTGTATTTTAGGTTTTAGAACATGCAGAGATTTTCATGAAGAATATTTTTTTGTGAAATGTAAGATGAACTTTTTTCCCATTAGTATAAAACTTTTTGGGACAATTATATGTATATAGGTATGTATAATTGAGGTCTCGTATAATTAAAAAAATCTAAAAATGGATATTTAAAAAACAATTATTACACTAGAGATTAAAGTAAATTTATTCTTACCAAGATTGTGCCAGATAAAATCAACATCCTATAATTTTCGTGTGTGGGAAAATGGTTGTAACAGCAGAATGTATTCCTTTTTCAAAATCAATGACTATGGTTTCGGGACGCCAAACGAATCCAAATTCGCTACATTGTTCGATTAAAATTTTAAGCAATTTCAAATGAGTTGACTTTATTTTGTTCTTTAATAAACAATATAGAACTGGGACATATGTATCATTTACATATACATGAAAACAAAATAATTGAAAAAAATATTTTGGACAATTACCGAAAGTTCCATCCATATAAAAATTTTTTTTGAGCACACATAAATTCTATGTTGCTCTTACAAGAAAATATTTCTTCGGTGGGATCGTTGATCAATAAAAATTGTTAGTCCTTAATTGTTTTTTTATCTAAAAAAATCAAAGTATTTTGAACGTCTGCAAAAGATTTTGGTAATTTGGGGAATAGTTAACGTTTTTCTCTTCCAAAGTTACTACGAATGTATTTCATGTCTTTACTTGTAAGAGTATCCAAATACTGTTTTTAAGAGTTTACTTCCCTGTGGATAATTTTCTCAAGTTTCTCGCACATCTAGTCTTCGGATTTTTGCTTTACTTGATTGCTCACTTTTTTACTGTTTAATACACTTTAGTCCAACATTTCATGCTCATGGTCACCACTTTTCTTTTCTAGTGTGTACAATTTTGCACGACATATTTTCGTGACACAACACCAACAAGTTTCACCTGTACTTTTTAGATCCATATAAACAAAACAAATACACAAATAAGCACTAAAGTAATAATGAATAATATTGCGAAAAATTCCTAAACTGGCGCCCGAGTAGCCCTTATTCTGCATTCACCGCCTTAGCGCCATACATACTTCCTGATTCAGTGTAAGTGAAACCACAAGCATATCCTATTAATCGATTTAGTTGTTATTTGTTAAGGTATTAAATAATAGAAAGTAAATAAATAAATTAATCCTTTTAATTGCTGATTGCGTCAGGCGCCTGAGGTAAGTACCTACGTAATTAAATGCGTCCCTTACGGGAACTCAAGTAGTGGATTATTTCAAGCTTCAACTGCTTGGCGGGAATTCTAGGTACACATTATGGTTAAAATTGCACTTGTCGAGAATTCGAGTGTCCTCAAGATATATTACCATTGACAATGCAAGAAATAATAGAAAATAATAGTGAATCTGTCTATCAATAATAAATGGAAGCACTGAATCGGTAAATAATTGATTACGCCAAGACTCATTTATGTTTTATAGTCGGTGGTGTTGTAAATAAAATTTATGACTAACAGCCAATTTCTGTTTCGACTAAACGTTGTAATTTTATTTATTCGATTTTTATCCTAAAACGGTTTTTTACCTCTCAGGCTTCATCGGCACAACTCTTAACTATACAAAATCAACATAACAAACAACAGACAACACAGCTCTAATTTGTACGGTCAGCTGCACAATATAATGAAGTGACCTAATGTGATAGTCTTACAGTATTCCGCTATGCATACTCATTGATAAAAAGTATGATATTATGTCCTCATACTCTGCTATTTACTATTGAATAACATAACGTTATCATATATATAAATTGATATAATATTTATGTAATGAAGGTTACATAACGGATATGTAATTTTTGTAACATATATTATAATTATATACATGGTATATAACTATGTTGCTAAGTTTGAACTTAGGAGTTCGGTTCCATAAATAATACATTAAAGTGCATATAAGACAGTCTAATATATTTTATCCTTCTTAGTCATGTAACAAGAGGAACATGTAACAGAATGGTTTGCTGTGATGTTGTCAAATTTCACTCGTTATTAACTTAATTTTATACTGTAATTGAATCGGTGAGTGAAAAAACAATACATATCCAAAATGACCATTTTGAGAAAAACAAAAAAAACTATTTTAAAGGAGAAATATGGGTTATTCGGCGTAATTGTGAAGTTATAGAATTTTTGTTAACCGATAATAATATGTACATAAATTTAAAAATAAAATTATGCAAAATATGATATTTGAAAAAAATGACTTGCAGTTATACTGTTCTTTCACTTAATTTAAAAAAAAATACTTTAATTTTTTTTTGTAGCTTTATTGATTATTATTTAACAAACGTATTTGTAATTTTTTAATCAGAATCTGCATTTTTGACTTTCCAAGAAATAATATATGGTAGTAAAACTCTAGGATTTCATCACTAAAGTAGAATAAAAGTATTTTTATATTGGCTATCTTTTTTACGTTAATAGGGACAACTTGTGATTATGCCTTTTCTAATGGCGAGCATACACGTAACGGTCTACCGGAGAAGCCTACCTGTGCAGGTATGCCTGCGCAGGTCGGCTTTATGTCGTAGCGTGCATGTCTACCTGTGCAGGCACACCTGCACAGACAGACCGTAGCGTGTATGCCCACCATAAGGGTAACTGCAGATTGGCATTAGGTTTGATATCAGTCTAATGCGCCCCACACATAAAAGTGTGCGAGAGAAAACCGCCTATGAAGGCACTTGTAGTAACATATCCAGAAGTTTTACCAGTGTATGTAAACTGGCTGTACTGTGGAATGACAAAATTAGCTTTTTGTTCATCAGCTGATTTAGAGGTTTTTTATGAAAGTGCGACCACCAGTTTTTGAAATCTGTGTTAAATTTGTCTACGAAACGACATGGCTACTGAATGAAAAAACAGTACATGCGCCGTACTTGTACTGTTCTTTGACTCAACCGAAAATTGAACAAGCCCCCATCACTCGTATGATGTTGGTCTGTGTATTATTCTTTCGCTATGTGATAGGCCTATGAATTTTAAACAATTTGCCTATCTCAGTTAAAATTTTGGCACTTGTACTGTTCTTTCACTCACCGATTCAATTTAAATTGACCTTTAATCATTTGATTCCATTTTGGAATTTAATATAAAAAATAATTTAATATTTAATTCTACTTGTTTGCCACTGTAGCCTCGTTAATGATTCTGGAGCCTATCCCTCGACGACCATCATACTAGTCATCATATTCACTGCTTGGTCATAGAATAGGCAATTCAGCACACAGCTATGTCGTAAATGGCGAAATAAATGTCTTTTCTTTACTTTGTTGTTGCTTAATAGAGATCTAGGTAGTAATTTGTCTTTACTCTAGCTTTCACAATTTTCTTTTTTTTTCTCCTTCCTTTCTTATTTACCTTTCTTTCTTCGACTAGGTGCCATGTACGAGTCATGGTCATGGTCTGGTCTAATTATCTTTAAGTTCTCTGACTTGATATGGATCTAGATTCATTACCCTACATTCTACTCATCAAATTCCGATGCACATACTTTGATTTTCTTCTACAGCACAAAATAAGTCGCCTGATCTATATATCTAGGGGGTGACTAGGAAGACCGTGCATATAATAGACAATATTATTCATTGTAAATAAACACATTTAATAAAAAATCATTTTATTTCACAGACAAAAACCAATGTTATACTATGTGTCCCAAAAGTATTGAAAAATAGACATCTTTTTAATACTGATAGGTATCTACGCAAAAACTAAAATATTTTGAAAACAAAAAATATACTCTATAAAGAAAAACAGAACAAAACTCTACCTAGTTGCTAGTTGGCCTTTTAAAAAATAGCACATAGACTAAAAAACAAAACAAAAATTCATGCATTTATAAAAAAATGCGTAACGCTTTTCTTTAAAGGCATCTACTATTTTTTCGAACATGTCCAAGTTTTCTTTATGGTGTCTTTCTGCCATATCTAAACGCCTTTGTTCTTCTGTAGCTGTCCTTTCTTCATATTTTTCCAACCATTTTAAAAGATTGGCTTTAGGACTTGATGTAATTCTCCTTTTTGAGTCACCTGCTGTACTTGTTGAAGGCCCTGCGGTACTTGTTGAAGGCCCTGCGATACTTGTTGGGTTACCTGCAGCCCCTGAATTATCTGAATTAGAGGTAGATGACATATTCTCTTTATCGTCTGCATATTTCTGGTTGAGCATTAAGCTAGAACAGGGATGCTTTGGTCGGACATTTGGTTTATCACCCATATACTCCTCCATCACCTGAAAATATTGCCAGTCCTTCCTATTATTTCCAGATGTATTGTTGTGATCAATAACTTCCTTATATTTTGTTCTTAAAGTTTTTATTCTGTTACAACACTGCTCCCATGTGAAATTATATCCACAGTTGTTCATAGATATTGCTATTTTTTGGTAAGTGATTTTTTGCATAACTTTTTTATCTTTTAATTCATCACTGAATTTTTTGCATGTATTAACTAGTAGTGTTTCATTGTAATTCCATTTATTAATTACTTTAGGGCTTATTTGTTGATCTACTGTTTCTGTTTTTTCATTACCCTCCTTATTTGGTTCATCAATTATTTCAACAGCTTCATATGCATTAGCTGCAAAAATCTCAATTTGTTACATACCTACATGTAAAAAATAAATAAAATATGCTTACTGTCTTTGTTGAACCAGAAATATTGTCCGTTTTCATCATGTACAACTTCTTCCATATTTTAGAACCAATATCAGAGATCCAAAGTCCAATTGAATTACGATTTACAATGACAAAAAATAATTAAAAATTATAAGTAATATAACCACAGAACACTTACAACTCATAACCTTACTAATTATGTTTGGCACATGAGTTTGACATACCAATACCCCCCCACTTTTTTCATTCCCTTCATTCGGTCAAAATTCACCGAATGAGAAGTTTGAGCGGAATGAATCAATCAACACAATAAAACGCTTATCCTGTTCATACTATCCACACCGGTGGCAAAAGATTGAGCAATAAAACGCGCCTATATATCAGACTGGAAGAACCAAGCCGATCAACAAAATCACACCACATGCGAGGTGATATTTGACACTCTGGCGCCCATTTGTGCGTATCGAAATACTCTTAAAAGAAACATCAAAATTAAACTTAACACTTATTTCATTCAACTACGGCACCTTCTAATTTAAGAACATCATTTAAAATTGATTTTTGATAATACGCAGCTGAAAATGTTCCAATGATAATTATTAAAATAGCGCGTTATTAATAAAAAATAATATAACTTATCGTAGTACGTCCGTGGGAAACGCAATGAACTGGAGTGGGGTAGAAAGCCAATGTGCATATTGTATTAATAGAACAAGCTGCGACTCTATGGGCGCAGCCATTTTTATTTCTTATCTCACTCGGGAGTATTTATAATAACTATTTTCTGTTTCACATTGTTATTGTTGAATCCACATGCTGGTGGATCAGACAATAACAAAGTGAAATAGAAAATGGTTGTTATAAATACTCCCGAGTGAGATGAAAAATAACCTGTCTTTGCCCATAGAGTCGCATCCCAAGCCTATTGACAAGCATTCTACCCCACTCCAGTTCATTGGGAAAACGTGACGATTGACAGTCTGGCGTCCAAATTGTCATGCGCACCGACCGTTTTTTTCACCTATGTCGGCTTAGAAATTAGGAATTGGGTTTATGTCATATAGCTATCCCGTTTAATATCAAGGTCGGTGGTTAAACCGCTATAGACGATGTTTACATTATTCAATTTATAATATTAATTTTACCGTTATACCTTTTAGAGGGTTTAAGTGGGTTCGGTGCCTTTATTGACTCCAAATATCTAGTTTGTATTTTTTGTTGTTGTTAACAACTTAATGTATTTTTGATTGATTCCATATGGAATTTAAAAAAAATTATAATAATAAAACGTCTTTTAGAACTTCTTTGATGATGACTTTGTAATAAAAAAAAAATCAATTTTTATACACTCAAGTACTTATTCCACCCACATTTCATTAGTAGTGTATACACCACTCCCAGTTTACTTATTTCCCCAATATATTGGTAGCAAGCCGCTACTGTACCGGATAAAAGTAGATATTATTTTAATTGATTAAACTTGGTTGACTTTTTAAATTAATAAATACCCAACTGCATAATTACCTTCTATATCGATTTAAATAATTTTCTGTTATTTATCGTTCTTTAATACTTCTGATTTTGTGACAGGCTCCTGGTTCACATACAGTGAATCAGCGAGTCTGTGTGGCGCTATGAAGGTGATTCCCGAATAGGGGTTGCTCAGGCGCCAGTTTTGGTATCGCAGTTTGCTCTGCAACCCTGAAGTATACCAGAGTGTACTCAAGGTAAACTTAGTGGAGGTAAAAATAATTCCAGGCAGTCACTGCTAGGTATCCACTATACTAGAATAAATAAAACTAAAACACTTATCTTCTTACTACCTCGTACCCTACGGTCAAGAACCAGCAATAATAGGAACACAGGAACAGGTAATAAAATATATATTTACAAAAAAATAAATACAACGGTAATTATATATGAACGGCTCCCTGCATTCGGAATATCTGTTCTTTAAAAATAAATTAATAAAATCGAAAAGTATTTAAATATTGACGGATCTCTATATTCGGAAAATTTGTTAAAAATAAATTATTTAAACGTAGGGAAATATTTATGAAAAATAAATTATTATTATTGAAAATTATTTAAACATATAGAAATATTTATGGTTTATTAGCACAGGAGGCTAATCGGACTGGGAATTGTGAAACGCCCAGTATACGGAAAATGTATGAAAATAAATTAATACACTTGAAACAATTTAAATATGACGGTAATCAAATGAAACAAATTAATGAACTCAAAATTGTCGGAGACCCCTTGTATCTTAATACCCAAGCGATGGAAACGAAAATTCTCGACTACTGATAAATATGGTTTATTTACACGGTCTTTTGAACGGCGACCACGACGGTCGTAGAAAATAATATTTTTGAAATTTTGCCCAGAGTCTAACGAGAGCGTATGTGTGAATTTAATTTTACAGAAGTCGTCTGACTTCATTCAATAACTAATTGTGGACAGGGGAAATGGAATGCTTCAAATACAGCTGAATAATAAAAGAAAATATTAAAAGAAAAGAAATTTTACACGAAGTGAGGCGCGGACATTAATTTAAAAGTCTTTTTGGGAAATTAGACAACGTCATCAGGAGAGAGAGCTCTCTAACCCAGTAAACGGATCGAACCTCCGAAAAAGAGAGAAAAAAAAAAATAAAACAATAAAATAATAAAAAAAATCGCAAACAGGTCGGATCTCTCACTTCGATGTTAACTGGGCGGTTTTTAAAAGAAATTAGATATAGTAGTTGACAAAGAGAACACTCGGTGTCTTGTCTAGGTCCAAACTCAAATTAAAAATTGCCAACGGTTTCCCACTGAGGGAAGAAATAATACATCCTGGATGTGAATCAAAATTCTTCGCTTGTCACACGGGTGTCCCAACTAATTATATAAAAGCCAAAAAATAATATGCGGTTGCTATCTTAACAAATTCAACGGGTCAACCAATTATTTATCGAGATAACGGCACTACACGGCGTATTCACTATAAATTAAAAGAAAACTCAGTACTTCTCGGATGTCAGAAATCAAGAGGCTGTCATTTTCAGCTCTCCATGAATTTATGCTTTTTCGGTAAAGCAAGATGGAAGACCAGTACGACAAAGTGGGGATATTACTACTACAGTCGACTGTTTACAATTTAAAAATTAAAAAAATGCCCTTATAGTCCTTGACAAATAAAAGGTAGATAATCCATACGAAATCGACTCTAAAAATGCCAATTCGGATTTCGGCAAATATTAGAATATTTTAATCTACGAGGGTACTCGCAATTGTTGAAAAACGGTAATTCCTGGGAAACAGAAATACGGGGGAACTTCTACATGTTCTTAGGCGGGAATTAATTGAAATATACATTTTTAAGATGAATTAAAAATAAAATTTAGTGACTACGTCACAACTTCGTGTGGATCACAGTTAATTAATTAGCTATTCCATCTGTTTTGTTACGAAACTTGATATTTCGAAGTTGGAAAGAAATCCCTCGTTACAGAATTCTTTTATTCTGTATAGAAACCTAAATATTTCCATTCTTGCCTGTGTTCAGTGGGACATTCTAACATCGTAAGACCATTTATGTATAGAGATTAAATTCCACATTAAATTCCACTCATCTTTGAAACGTTTCTATCCTTTTATAAAACAAAGTCAGAATATACAACGTTCATGAGTATTGTCGAAAATTCTGTAAGCAGCACCACTGGTTAAAAATGTTAAAATCCATTGGCATTAGCTGAAATAGCGAACGAGTAAATACAGTAGGTTTCTGCAATTATTTAAAGTGCAATAAAACAAGATCATAAAGATTTCAAAGCTATGATTTATTATGAGGGATTGAGACAAGTATGTGCACTGAATCAGGCTGCAGCATATATTCGCCTACAGAAGCAATTAAAAGGGAATTAGAGAGGATTGGTGCAAGTAAATGATAAAAAGAACAAAAGAGAAAACATTACGTTTTTATATTTCATTTAAAAATAGGAGAAACGAAAATTAAACAGCTCATAACCTATTTGTGTATTGATATGAAAAAAATTATGGGTAGGTATTAAAAGTAGATTTAACCTAAAAGCTGGGTTATGTAAATACCAATTATTACTTAAAGTTATTCTATTTTCAGCAAGTCAACTCGCGTATTTACGGTGATTTATTTTATGACCCTAGTGTTTATACCTGTATCTGTAACGTGTGAAGAGTGTGTTAATTCACGGAACTTAGGCCTCACTAGGCCTATTGCGTATCCTCCTAACTAGATTGGCACCTCCTACAAATTTAATGTAGTTGGCAACTTCGCCAAGAGGTGCTTCTCTTATATTAGCCGGTGTTAGCCTATTCTTGCCGAACAAAAATCCAATAAATGAGAGCATCAGGCAATTTTAGAGGATATAGTCACTTGTCTCATATTCTTTTTCGCACCCCCTGCAGAGTTAAGATTCTGATATACTCATGATATGGAGATGATTCTGTACTTGGCAATGACCACTCAAAATACCTATGATTCCGTCAAGTCATAGCCAAGTATTTGTTTGCTGTAGTGTTGTCAGGATAACTTAAAAGCTCCTTGGCAAGTCTAGAGCTTCTTGTTTGATCTCATCTTTCCTTGAATTTTACAAGGGGATGTTCTTTAATTAGGTTTGTTACTATCGATGTTGTCAGTCCAATAGAAGGTCCAGATTCAAAAAGTATTTGGTTGCCTGCCTTTTCGGCTAGTTAATCATCAAGACAGTTACCTATAGATGTGGCGTTGACCACTTTGTTGATGGATACTTCGACCAAAGCTTCGTGACATTCTAGTACTAACCCTGAGTAAATTCATGGATCCAGGATTAGTAGTGCTTGTCTGTTATCTGTATATATGAGCATAGTCCTTGCAGTGATATTATTTTTGGTGATTTCTTTTGCTGCTATGAGAATCCCCTTGTGCTCGGTTTGAACTACACTGGCACTATTACTCACAGTCAGTTTTATGTTTAGGTTTACGGATCTGGAGTATATACCACATACCTAGTCTTGTTTCGTTTTAAAACCTTCGGTGTAGAGATGAACTGTACCTTCCATTTCCGGCTCTTTTATTTGTTCTGTTATAACTTCATATGGCTTATGGAAGGTGTATCTCGGTGAAAGTCCATGTTCGCTTGTAGCAGTGGGAGCGTATCGAACGTCCCCTGCCAAAACTGACGACTCGCCTTACCAGATCCTACATCAGGTTCTATTCTAACCG